ATGACATCATTACACTCTCCAAATGATCAGCATCTTTATTATTGCAACAAGGATGAACAACCTGCTCAGATTTTTGTTAGGGACAGGGTATTATTGAGTCTATTGCCACTCCATTCCCACATGATTAACCGTCTCATTCAACTGCACAGCAGTAGGTGTCATCATTCAATAAGATTAAACTGTACACACAGCCTGACTCAGATACGGGTACAGTCCAGACAAGCCAGCATTGAAGCAATGGAAATTATGATTTGGAAAATTGGACATTGAACAAACTCACCAGCTAGTCTGTGGCTGAATAGCTGTTCTGCGCTGCAGCAGATCAGAAAATACCACTTTTTCTGTTTTACTTTGATCCTCTAATAATAAGATACTATATGTGGAATTATGTATTTGCTGAGATGTGGGCAATTAATGAAGGTACCAGGAGTTTCCAGTTGTAATTTAATTCAAATGATAGACTCAATAGAATGACCCAGTGATTATTATAAATGAAAGCATCAAGGAAGAGTCTCAGTCTTTGAACACCACGATAGATTACGAGACAAAACAGAAAGAATGAATGACTCAGCTGACACGCGTTTAAATGTAATTTTAATTCAATTATTTTTTGTTACAGAACAACACACTTATGATACAGAATGGCTATTTGCACATAAGACAAATATGTTAATTGTAGTAGAATAAGCATTAGATAGTTTGACAGTAACTAACAAATTACTTTTTTACTGTGGCTTTTCGCCAAGGGGAATGACAAACAATGTAATCAATACTGGGAAAAAAATAACAAAGTTACCACTTAAATCCCTTATGCAACATTTAAATGCTTGACGTATGAGGACATCATCTGAGTCAGAATTTTATGAGAAATGCTATGTTCCCATTCCCTCATGAGAATTTCCTACCCCTACATATTTCTTAGTTACAGTTGAAGTCGGAAGTTTACATACACTTTAGCCAAATACATTTAAACTCAGTTTTTCACAATTCCTGACATTTGATCCTAGTAAATATTCTCTGTCTTAGATCAGTTAGGATCATCACTTTATTTTAAGAAGGGGTTGTGAGCTGCATGAAATGATAAGACTCAAAGGCATGGGGAATCCGTAACACCTTAATCTCCTAGTCGTTGATTCAATGTAACCTAGATGGACCATGACCTTGTGATAAGTTTTATCATATTTTAGTGACTGGAGGAATGTGATGTCACAAATATCTCATGTCTCTCATTACTTCACTGATTAAACCAGCATCAGCAAACATATACATATTAATTAAATCTAAACCATAAATGTAAGACATTTACAGTTTTTTCCGTACAATCCGACATTACGATGTAGCCACCTTGAGCTATAGTGTAACCTACGGCTTGTGCATTTCCTGTTATCGCTAATGGCCTGGAAAAGATTATGTCCAATCTATGGGTACAGTTGTAGTCTGAAGTTTACATACACCTTAGCAAAATACATTGAAATTAAGTTTTTCACAATTCCTGACATTTAATCCTAGTAAAAAGGCCCAGTTTTAGGTCAGTTAGGATCACCACTTTATTTTAAGAATGTGAAATGTCTGAATAATAGTAGAGAGAATTATTTATTTCAGCTTTTATTTCTTTCATCACATTCCCAGTGGGTCAGAAGTTTACATACACTCAATTAGTATTTGGTAGCATTGCCTTTAAATTGTTTAACTTGGGTCAAACGTTTCGGGTAGCCTTCCACAAGCTTCCCACAATAAGTTGGGTACATTTTGGCCCATTCCTTCTGACAGAGCTGGTATAACTTAGTCAGTTTTGAAGGCCTCCTTGCTCGCACACGCTTTTTCAGTTCTGCCCACAAATGTTCTATAGGATTGAGGTCAGGGCTTTGTGATGGCCACTCCAATACGTTGACTTTGTTGTCCTTAAGCCATTTTGCCACAACTTTGGAAGTATGTTTGGGGTCATTGTCCATTTGGAAGACCCATTTGCGACCAAGCTTTATCTTCCTGACTAATGTTTTGAGATGTTGCTTCAATATATCCACATAATTTTCCTTCCTCATGATGCCATCTATTTTGTGAAGTGCACCAGTCCCTCCTGCAGCAAAGCACCACCACAGCATGATGCAGCCACCCCCGTGCTTCACGGTTGGGATGGTGTTCTTCGGCTTGCAAGCCACCCCCTTTTCCTCCAAACATAACAATGGTCATTATGGCCAAACAGTTCTATTTTTGTTTCATCAGACCAGAGGACATTTCTCCAAAAAGTACGATCTTTGTCCCCATGTGCAGTAGCAAACCGTAGTCTGGCTTTTTTATGGCGGTTTTGGAGCAGTGGCTTCTTCCTTGCTGAGTTATGTCGATATAGGACTTGTTTTACTGTGGATGTAGATACTTTTGTACCTGTTTCCTCCAGCATCTTCACAAGGTCCTTTGCTGTTGTTCTGGGATTGATTTGCACTTTTCGCACCAAAGTACGTTCATATCTAGGATACAGAATGCGTCTCCTTCCTGAGCGATATGACGGCTGCGTGGTCCCATGGTGTTTATACTTGCGTACTATTGTTTGTACAGATGAACGTGGTACCTTCAGGCGTTTGGAAATTGCTCCCAAGTATGAACCAGACTTGTGGAGGTCTACAATTGTTTTTCTGAGGTCTTGGCTGATTTCTCTTGATTTTCCCATGATGTCAAGCAAAGTGGCACTGAGTTTGAAGGTAGGCCTTGAAATACATCCACAGGTACACCACCAATTGACTCAAATGATGTCAATTAGCCTATCAGAAGCTTCTAAAGCCATGACATCATTTTCTGTAATCTTCCAAGCTGTTTAAAGGCACAGTCAACTTAGTGTATGTAAACTTCTGACTCACTGGAATTGTGATACAGTGAATTATATGTGAAATAATCTGTCTGTAAACAATTGTTGGAAAAATTACTTGTGTCATGCACAAAGTAGATGTCCTAACCGACTTGCCAAAACTATAGTTTGTTAACAAGAAATTTGTGGAGTGGTTGAAAAACGAGTTTTAATGACTCCAACCTAAGTGTATGTAAACTTCCGACTTCAACTGTAGATTACGGATACAAGCACTTCATGGTAGTTTGAGAATATAAAAAAAACTACCTAAAAACCACATAGAAACAAATAAAAGTAGCACATTTTTAAAGAATGATACTGCAATAAATTAAATAACACAAAACTACATTAGAGAGCCAATGCTTTGTCAATGGTATGTTCTATACGCATGCAGGAGAAAACCAAAACCAAAATGAGAGGACTGTAATAAATGCAACACTATCACATTCAGAACTGCTAGAACACGTAGGCCTACGTCTTTGTCAAGGTTGTTTTTATATGAAACATTGTCACACATATAGCTTCATGATATAGCCTTCAAATCTGTTAAATGCATGTGTTGTTGACTGACAAGTCTTCTTTCAAAAGCCACATGTTCACTTAAAATAATCTCATGTCTATCGCTCATTGTAGTATATCCTTCATTCAATATTGGCTGAGATTATGGCAAAATTATGAGTTTATAACGGGCACAAGTGTCAAACAGGTGAACTATTATGCAGGAAGATCAGGCGCATTAAACTCAATTGTTTTCTAATCACACAACTCACAAACCATTTTTCCTCCTCTGCCACCTTACATATTAAGAAACAAATATACATTGATTCCATTACATATTTGGTCACATTGTCGTTCTCACAGGACAGAGTGGGGTATGTTGAGCCATTTTTTACATTCAGCATCACTCCGTCAATATAGTATTATTTCTAACAAAGATATCTACATATATTTCAGGATGTTATGTATCCCTGGAAATAATCAGAATTCATGTAAACATAACAGTTTTAAAAACATAGTTTGTAAAATAAAAAAAATTACTCCGGGGTAAATTGAGCGTAGGGAAAAGGTAAGTTGAGCCGCCTTTGGGTAAGTCGGTGATGGTGTCCTGTGACAGTGGATGATGGTGCTAGTTGGTCATAGTTTAATTCATGGAATGGGGGTGTGGTATATTGTACTGTATATCTTAAATGTATGCCTACATTCAGATATAGATTTCTCTGTTAAATATCACTTACCCTTCCATTTCTTGACCAGTTGTCTGGGACATGAAGCTGGCCCGCGAGATTCTGGATACGTTTAGCAAGCTCAGACTCCAATTCATCAGAGAAGACCTTGTGTGTCTCTGCTACTCTATAATAGCCTCTGTTTCACACAGCTACATGTTCGTTTTCCTTTTCGTCAATGTACCTCTTCAGTGTCATTCAGTCTATTTGTTTCATCCCTTGCTGCTGCTCAAATGGACTTCTTCCCTTCTCTCACTTCCTTGGCTGCTCTCAAGAACCTCAAGGGGGGCTAGATCCCTGCTTGTTTTACATTTGTATACACGGGGAATGATTATGTCTGCTCTATAACAATATAAATGCATTATATTGAGTTCATATGCATGACACATTGCAAAAATACTATGTATTTTATGCATAAAACTGACTAAATGTAATCATCTTCTGCATGGGGTATGGTGGCCATTGGCCCAACTTACCCCAAGGCAAACATTTTGACTATATTAGCCCACACAGCTACAAGGGTGCACTTTCATGCTAGGTTTAGGACCTCATATTGTAGCTTATAGAGACCCCAACTGATGTACAAAACAATCTACTTTGGTTTAGATACAAGCATCATGAAAACTATAACACAATACATTAATTTGACCTAACTTGCTTACCACTTTTTCCATGTGTTTTCTTCTTTCATAGACTCCATGAAATGATGACCTATTCCTAAATATTTGGTCACATGGTACATTTTGTGTATGGTTTCCTAGAAACAAGGAGTAGCTCAACTAACCCTTCGGCTCAACTTACCCCACTCTCCTCTACGTATTAAATTCAATCAAAGTGCTTTTAATATCCTTTAATATTGTTGTGGTTGACATCTTGAAAATACCAACAGAACAACTTCAGTTAACAAATTTATATAGGCTAGGCCTTCCCTTAGTTTCTCAGGGCCAGTTGAACGTCCTCCCAGTAATCTGATAAAACTTCTGATTGAAGGGGTGGAAGAACTTCCTCAGTTTGGCCACCACTGAGGGGTCCACCTCAGGGTGGATGCGCCCCTTGCTGCCTGCCAGGCACTTGTTGAAGACAATGTTAAATCGCAGGCAGTAGAATCCCCTGGTGGCATTGAAGTACAGGTTATACTGGCTGATTCTGGAGGGGAGGTTGAGGAAGCGCTCAACGAGCTGCAGCTCAGGCAGAGGGTCTGTGATCAGACGGTCGCCGTCCACAATGTGAAATTGTTCCACAGGGAAGTACTTCAGCCAGCGCTCCAAGTGCTTGGTGTAAATGCTGGTCCGTACCGCCTTATACTTTATGTTCACCTCACACGTGTTGCCGTCGATGGCCAGCTTCTCAAACTTGTGGTAGGTCTTGTTCTTACGCTCCTTGCCCTCCAGCACCTGTGTGTAGTCAGACACAGCTCTGGTGGTGGGCTCACGCACAATAATCAACAGCTTGATGGAGGAGTTCATCTTGAAGATGCGTTCCGGGACCTCCTCTGTGATGAAGTAGGCGGGGCTCTTCTCAATGGTGATCTGGTTGGGGAAGGAGAAGGGCATCTTCTCCCGGTACCAGTCGATGCCCCGGGCGTAGTTTTGTTCGTTGTCAAAGAAGTGGATCTCCTGCGAGGCCTTGACCACAGCCGGGTGCAGGTTGAGCATCTCCAGCAGGGCGCGCGTGCCCCCCTTGCGCACCCCGATGATGATGGCCCGGGGCAGCTGCTGCACCAGGTTGTGCAGGCGGATCTGCTCTTTGGTGGCATTGCCCTTGCGGATCTCGTGGAGCAGGCCGCGTTTATACTGCAGGGTCCGGAGAGGGATCTGCTCCGGCAGGTGAGGAGGGCCCAGTCTGCTCTCTATGGGGCAAATAGGCTGCAGCCTGGAGGAGGGGAAAACACAGAAAGAGACATTTAGTTCTGTATAATACTTTCATCAGTATACTATAGAGCACTTTGGAATTAACTTTAAAGACATTGTTAAATACTATAAAGTCTTATCATAATCTAATCATATATGATCAAGATTTTGTTATTGGAAAAAAATATTAGATTATTCATATAAACTAAAAGCATTCTATACTTGACATTCAACAGGCATTGCTTTCAGCAAACAACGTACCTATCCAAGCTCCCAACCCTGGCCACTAGATAGAGGAGACTCCCGATAGCAAGGCTGCCCAACACGAAGAGCTTCTGTCTCAGCAACGCCTGCTGTTTGAATAGCATGGCCCTCCATCAATCTTCAGGACTGCGTCTTCAGCCTGGGGATGGGAGAGCAGAGCACATAAACCACTAATCACTGGCGAGGAGACAGCCTAATGTTTATTAACACACACTCAATCAAGTCTTACAAGTGATTAAGCCACACTCACAGGAGCCTGCAAAGTGCTGCAGTGCCATTAGAGCAGACGCCTGTGGTGTATTCATTAGTCGGGTTCCGTTGCAAAATGTTTTGTCTGTTGCGAAACGTTTTGCAACAAAAACCGTTTACTCCAAACGTAAAATGTTCTGCAACTAAAACGAGAGTTTCTATTGGGCAAATTCAGGTAGGTCCCGCCCCGTTTGGTTCTTAGAGTAAACAGTAAATGGTTTCCGTTGCAAAACATTTTGCAACAGACAAATCCGACTAATGAGTACACCCCCGATTTTCCTCATACCCTTTTATTTATTCATTTAATTATTTCTGCCAGATAAGTCTTGGATCAGATTGGATCAAATGTATGACAGGCAGCCTCCCTCTGTGAGAGCCTGATGGTATAATTTTCATGTAGCTAATGCAAAGCAGAATACACAATTATTTCAACAGCCAGTGTTTTTTTTTTCTTCACAAAAAGGGTGACTGCATTGTTTGGTTCCAGCCAACCCCTCAGGTGTAAATTAATGAATATATATATATATATATATATATACAGTACCAGTCAAAAGTTTGGAAACACCTACTCATTCTAGAGTTTTTCTTTATTTTTACTATTTTCTACATTGTAGAATAATAGTGAAGACATCAAAACTATGAAATAACACATATGGAATAATGTAGTAACCAAAAAAGTATTAATCAAATCAAAATATATTCAAATAGCCACCCTTTGCCTTGACGACAGCTTTGCACACTCTTGGCATTCTCTCAACCAGCATCACCTGGAATGCTTTTCCAACAGTCTTGAAGGAGTTCCCACATATGCTGAGCACTTGTTGGCTGCTTTTCCTTCACTCTGCCGTCCGACTCATCCCAAACCATCTCAATTTGGTTGAGGTCGGGGGATTGTGGAGGCCAGGTCATCTGATGCAGCACTCCATCACTCTCCTTCTTGGTAAAATAGCCCTTACACAGCCTGGAGGTGTGTTGGGTCATTGTCCTGTTGAAAAACAAATGATAGTCCCACTAAGCCCAAACCAGATGGGATGGCGTATCGCTGCAGAATGCTGTGGTAGCCATGCTGGTTAAGTGTGCCTTGAATTCTAAATAAATCACAGACAGTGTCACCAGCAAAGCACCCCCACACCATAACACCTCCTCCTCCACGCTTTGCGGTGGGAAATATACATGCAGAGATCACCCGTTCACCCACACCGCGTCTCACAAAGCCACGGCGGTTGGAACCAAAAATCTCAAATTTGGCTCCAGACCAAAGGACACATTTCCACTGGTCTAATGTCCATTACTCGTGTTTCTTGGCCAAAGCAGGTATCTTCTTATTATCCTTTAATAGTGGATTCTTTGCAGCAATTCGACCATGAAGGTCTGATTCACACAGTCCCCTCTGAACAGTTGATGTTGAGATGTGTCTGTTAGTTGAACTCTGTGAAGCATTTATTTGGGCTGCAATTTCTGAGGCTGGTAACTCTAATGAACTTATCCTATGCAGCACAGGTAACGCTGGGTCTTCCATTCCTGTGGCGGTCCTCATGAGAGCCAGTTCCGCTTGATGGTTTTTGCGGCTGCACTTGAAGAAACTTGAAATGTTCCGTATTGACTGACCTTCATGTCTTAAACGAATGATGGACTGTCGTTTCTCTTTGCTTATTTGAGCTGTTCTTGCCATAATATGGACTTGGTCTTTTACCAAATAGGACTATCTTATCACGACACGACACAACTGATTGGCTCAAACACATTAAGAAGGAAAGAAATTCCACAAATTAACTTTTAAGAATGAGTAGGTGTGTCCAAACTTTTACTATATATATAGAGAGAGAGAGAGAGAGAGAGAGAGAGAGAGAGAGAGAGAGAGGAGAGAGAGAGAGAGAGAGAGAGAGAGAGAGAGAGAGAGAGAGAGAGAGAGGAGAGAGGAGAGAGAGGAGAGAGAGAGAGAGAGAGAGAGAGAGAGATTCATTACCTAGAATATGATAAGGTTTAACTTTCTAGATTACTGTGACTCCCATTCAATTATAAAGTTTCAGAGAATAGAGGAACTGCCTATTGCAAAGAAAAACCAGCAATCTAGAATAAATACTGTAAATTGGTGCCTCATGAAAATAGTTCACCTCAAAGAAAGACTGAAAAGAGGATAGAAATGGCATATTTGGATGTTGTTAACTAGATGTTCAAACCATTCCGTCACACACACACACACACACACACACACACACACACACACACACACACACACACACACACACCTGTTTTTGAATTTTGAATATGCACAACAAAGGGACTATCATGTTGTATGAAAAGAAAGCATCACTGTGAGAAGCTGCTGCATGGGAACAAAACAAGAATGATCAAAGGAAAATACTGACCTCAATTCATTGTAGGCTACACTTCATCTACTGTTCCAATCTAGAACAGATCCTAATATTCACAACATTATACAGTGAGGGAAAAAAGTATTTGATCCCCTGCTGATTTTGTACGTTTGCCCACTGACAAAGAAATGATCAGTCTATAATTTTAATGGTAGGTTTATTTGAACAGTGAGAGACAGAATAACAACAAAAAAATCCAGAAAAACGCATGTCAAAAATGTTATAAATTGATTTGCATTTTAATGAGGGAAATAAGTATTTGACCCCTCTGCAAAACATGACTTAGTACTTGGTGGCAAAACCCTTGTTGGCAATCACAGAGGTCAGTCGTTTCTTGTAGTTGTCCACCAGGTTTGCACACATCTCAGGAGGGATTTTGTCCCACTCCTCTTTGCAGATCTTCTCCAAGTCATTAAGGTTTCGAGGCTGACGTTTGGCAACTCAAACCTTCAGCTCCCTCCACAGATTTTCTATGGGATTAAGGTCTGGAGACTGGTTAGGCCACTCCAGGACCTTAATGTGCTTCTTCTTGAGCCACTCCTTTGTTGCCTTGGCCGTGTGTTTTGGGTCATTGTCATGCTGGAATACCCATCCACGACCCATTTTCAATGCCCTGGCTGAGGGAAGGAGGTTCTCACCCAAGATTTGATGGTACATGGTGCCGTCCATCGTCCCTTTGATGTGGTGAAGTTGTGCTGTCCCCTTAGCAGAAAAACACCCCCAAAGCATAATGTTTCCACCTCCATGTTTGACGGTGGGGATGGTGTTCTTGGGGTCATAGGCAGCATTCCTCCTCCTCCAAACACGGTGAGTTGAGTTGATGCCAAAGAGCTCGATTTTGATCTCATCTGACCACAACACTTTCACCTAGTTCTCCTCTGAATCATTCAGATGTTCATTGGCAAACTTCAGACGGGCCTGTATATGTGCTTTCTTGAGCAGGGGGACCTTGCGGGCGCTGCAGGATTTCAGTCCTTCACGGCGTAGTGTGTTACCAATTATTTTCTTGGTGACTATGGTCCCAGCTGCCTTGAGATCATTGACAAGGTCCACCCGTGTAGTTCTGGGCTGATTCCTCACTGTTCTCATGATCATTGCAACTCCACGAGGTGAGATCTTGCATGGAGCTCCAGGCCGAGGGAGATTGACAGGTCTTTTGTGTTTCTTCCATTTGCGAATAATCGCACCACCTGTTGTCACCTTCTCACCAAGCTGCTTGGCGATGGTCTTGTAGCCCATTCCAGCCTTGTGTAGGTCTACAATCTTGTCCCTGACATCCTTGGAGAGCTCTTTGGTCTTGTCCATGGTGGATAATTTGGAAACTGATTGATTGATTGCTTCTGTGGACAGGTGTCTTTTATACAGGTAACAAACTGAGATTAGGAGCACTCCCTTTAAGAATGTGCTCCTAATCTCAGTTTGTTACCTGTCTTAAAGACACCTGGGAGCCAGAAATCTTTCTGATTGAGAGGGGGTCAAATACTTATTTCCCTCATTAAAATGCAAATCAATTTATAACATTTTTGACATGCGTTTTTCTGGATTTTTTTGTTCTTATTCTGTCTCTCACTGTTCAAATGAACCTAGCATTAAAATTATAGACTGATAATTTCTTTGTCAGTGGGCAAACGTACAAAATCAGCAGGTGATCAAATACTTTTTTCCCTCATTGTATGTATGGTTTTTATTTTAGAGTGGAAAGGGATTATGTGTCTATTGTCTAATTGACAATATTGTCTAATTGATTGAATCAATGTTACCTCATAAGACAGCATTTGATCTGCATGTCTCTGTCCAGTCCAGAGCTTTCATGACAAGCTCTTAACAGCCAATCAATCACCAGGGCCCAGTTTTGCAAAAGTTATCTATCTGGATTTCGGCTATCGGACAGGATTAAATGCATAGAAATAGAATGAATAGAATGTACAAATCATTTAATTGAATGGGGACTCCCATTATACAAATAATTTAATTGAATGGGGACTCCTACCATCATTTGAATGGGACCCATATACAATCATTTACTTGAATGGGGACTCCCATTATACAAATCATTTACTTGAATGGGGACTCCCATTATACAAATAATTTAATTGAATGGGGACTCCCATTATACAAATAATTTAATTGAATGGGGACTCCCATTATACAAATCATTTACTTGAATGGGGACTCCCATTATATAAATAATTTAATTAAATGGGGACTCCCATTATACAAATAATTTACTTGAATGGGGACTCCCATTATACATATCATTTAATTGAATGGGGACTCCCATTATACAAATAATTTAATTGAATGGCGACTCCCATTAAACAAATAATTGAATTGAATGGGGACTCCCATTATACAAATAATTTACTTGAATGGGGACTCTCATTCTATTCATTCTATTTCAATGCATTTATTCCTATCCGATAGCCGAAATCCAGATATATCATTTTTGAAAAATTGGGCCCAGAGACTACTGTTGGTGC